AGATAGCAGTGGGGGAGATGGTAGAACTGCAGTTCAAATATTGGTGCAGCAGAGGAGATTATGTTATAACCAGCACAAGGCTAATCCTATCACTATTGGGCAGTCTTTTAAGTAAAAGATATCACTACCGTGAGGGTTTCTCTTAAAAGACATTTCTATGATCGACATCAAAAGAAAAGTATAAACAGAAATCTTTCAACGAGATGGGCAGTCAGCAAAAGTATACAAAGGGAGTCTTATAAAGTGTTCATTTTTAGACTAAGACTAGATTTTGGATTGCAACAATTTAAGCCTGTTACAAATACACAATTATATTGGACACCTTGATCTAATAACTAACTACATTAATACCATCTGTGTACACAGAGAGGGAAGAAATATAAATATCTAAACTAAACATTATGGACTTCAATGACCTCAGTGATGACTTCAATGGATGTGCACTGATTTACACTAGGTGATGACCCAGTCCATAATGTCAAATTTAAAATGTAAGCTGGAGGGATACTACTTAGTAGAAATTCCTGTAACTTCCCATGGTAAGAAATAACTCTCACCACATACTGGTATCAATTGCCAGTTGTATTTCACTGTTTTAATATGAGTGTTTCCATTTTCCTGGTGAATTTTCATCCTAAAGAGCCATGGTGGTTTCGGTAAAATCTTTTATTGGACCAACATCTGTTGGTGAGACACAAGCTTTTGAGCTTACACAGAGCTCTTCTTCAGATCTGGGAAATGTACTCAGTGTCACAGCTAAATACAATGTGGAAAAGATTGTTAGACTGTTGTAACAAGCCAGAAATCTAGTGTGTCTATTCAGTCCATAATTTTTAGTATCTAGCAAAGTTATGCATTTAAGCTCCCAGGCTCGTCGTTTGAAGGTGTAGTGCAGGTTTCCTCTGAGGACAAGGACTGAGAGGTCAGATGCAGAGTGATCGCTCTGTGAAAAGTGTTCACCCAAAGGTGATCACTCAAAATCTGGCCACTCAGACTCAGAATGAATCTGTAGGGGAGGAAGTCAGCCTGGTCATGGGATTTCAGCCAGGGACACACCACAGCACAAGAGCAGGAGCTGAGGAAGCAGATGTTGAGGGTAAACCAGGCTAGCAGTTGGCAGAACAGACCTTATGATGGAAGAGAGAGGAGCAAAAGAGTCAAGGGTGGAGGAGAGTGAAACATGGAGAGAATCAACAACCATATGGACAAAAGACAGGGACAAGAGGACAAGGAGGAAAGGGCTGAAAGCAGATGAGAACTCATTAAAGCTGATGGACTGGGTATTACAGAAAGGCCAAGACACAGGGCATGCTGGGGGAGCTCATGGGCAATGCTGAGACCAGATGATAGTCATGGGGGAAATCAGCTAGAGAGAGATCAGAGGAAGAGCACTGCTAGTTGAAGAGCTAGGCAAGTCAATGGCCTTTTTAGTGAATGAGAGAATTGAACCAGGGCTGTGTGGTACAACAAAGAGATGAGGGTGAGGAAACTTTCAGAGAAGGGGTCAGGTGGGTCATCAGTGTGGAAGCTGAAGTCACTAGAGAGAGATAACAGGAGTCAAAATCAGAGAAGCAAGCTGATGGGGAGGAGTTGGGTGGATGGTAGATGACGGCAACAGAGGGGAGAGGGAAGAGTCAGATGCAGGGTTGTTCAAAACACAGAGTGGGAAATAGCGAGAAGTTGGAAGCAGCAGGAACAGAAGAGAAGAAACTCAGCTCCCTCACCGTGTCTGATCCAGGGCAGGAAGTCAGAGAGAAGGACAGGCGTTTATGGCTATGTCTGCACTGCAGCCGTGAGGTGTGATTCCCAGTGCTGGTTGAGACTTGCGCTAGCTCAGCTCAAGCAGGCGCACTAAAAATAGCAGTGTGGATGTTGTGGCATGGGTGGCAGCTTCAGCTAGCTGCATGACCTTGGACCATGGGGGTCAGATGAGCTTGGATCCAGGTGGATAGCCTGAGTTCTGGCCCGTGCTGCAACATCCACACTGCTATTTTTAGCCACTTGCTGGAGAATGAGCTAGTGTGAGTTTGTCTACCTGCGCTGAAAATCCCAGCTGCAGTGTAGACATACTCTAAAAGAGAGGGCAGCTGCAGAGCCAGTGTCAGATGAAGGGATTCTAGTCTCTGTGAGGGACAGGAGCCTGGAGGGAACAAGATATGGAGTGGTCCTAGATGGCTGTGATCTTTTCAGAGATGGAGTGGGTGTTCCAGAAACAAGAAGAGGAGAAAAGGAGTAAGATAGATGCGAGGTTAGGAATGATTGACTAGAGGGGCAGAGGAAGTGGCATAGATGGGTGTGGGAGGTGGAGAGGATGAAGATGGAGGGAGGACCAGGGCTGGAGCAAATCTCACCAGAGATGAAGGGGAGGAGGTAGAGGAGTGTGTGGATGTGAGAGCTGGATTGGTGCTGGGGGAAGAAGGCGAGCCTTTTGGGAGCTGCACAGCTTGGAGAGTCAGAGTGGGACAGTGGGGCTGAGGAGGATACTGGGACAGAAGCCTCTTCATAGTGGAAATACGTAATAGGGTGCAGCAACAGTACTTAAGCTGAGAACCTGACGTGATGAATATTGTATCCAACTGAAACTGAAGAGGGACTTTATATATGCAAAATCTAGTCTCCAGAGCATCCTTACTCTTAAGAGAGACCTGAGATCTACACTGACTAATAACTTGACATTTGGTGGCGCTGAGCACCTGCCACTCCCATGGACTTCAACCGAGGTTGCTAAGTTTTAACGTTCTGAAAAATCAGATGTTAAATGGTCAAGACTACGGGATGTCCCTCATAAAAGATGAAAACTTCAACAGTATCCCTTAAGAGCACAGTCAGACATTGATTCATGAATGACTGAATGCCACTTATGAGCTGCCAGCACTTCCTGCACCACCTGGCTTTGTCCTTGGGAGATTCTCTGCTTGCCCCTCCCAGTCAAGAACTGAGCTTAGAAGAGCAAACCAGATAGCAGTTTAAAGTGGTATGGTTGCAAGAATCACCAGTAACTAATGCATAAGAAGGTTTAAGATTAGTGTGGGTGGGACTTACATAATTAAACAGGAGCAAAATCCAAACTCTTCTGGCAAGTTTGCTCCTAAAACCCACAGGATCACAAATTAGACATACTTACACAGTTCCATCCCTTTAAACATGGGGCACTGAGGAGCAGAGTGTCTGCTATTCAATCTTTCAATATACTGGAAAGTTAGTTTATTGCAATTGTGTCAGAAAACTTGAAGGATTCCCAAACTTTTAAACAAATATAACCAATTTCCAGTCAGTTTGCATTCTAATATAATTTTTAAAACCTGAAGATTCAACATATGTTTTCCTAACCAGTTGAACTGAGTTATTTTTGTACTAAAGGTTAACTGTCACTAAACAGAATAAAATTTTAAAAGCATGCATAACAGAAGTCAAAATGCTGAAAGTTTTGGATCTAATCGGATGCTTCATTATTCCAGAATGTACAAAACAACTATTCTGATTACATCCTGCAAGCCAAGGCTTTTCTCCTTTTCGATTAGCATCCTCCAGTTTCCTAATACAGCAACACAATTTCAGAATTATCCTTTAGATCAAAGGTGGGCAAACTACAGCCCGACTGTCCTACCCAGCCCTTGAGCTCTCGGCCAGGGAGGCTAGCCCCCAGCCCCTCCCCGTTGTCCCCCCCTCCCCTGGGGTGATGCCACCGCACAGCGGCTTGCACCCGCCCACCTCCCAGGCTATTCAATAAGCCTGTCCTGCAGCTCTGAGCAGCATGGTAAAGGGCCAGGAGGGTTGGATAAGGTGCAGGAGGTCCCGGGGGGGCAGTCAGGGGACATGAGGCGGTTGGATGGGGCGGAGGTTCGGGGAGGGGGGCGGTCAGGAGCCAGGGAGCAAGGGGGGGGTTGGATGGGGGTGTGGTCCCGGGAGAGCAGGGGACAGGGAGCAGGGGAGGTTGGATAGGGGGTGGGGTTCTTGGGGGGCAGTTAAGGACGGGGGTCCTGGGAGGGGGTGGTCAGGGGACAAGGAATGGTGGGGTGGATAGGTTGTGAGTCCCGGGGGGCCTGTCAGGGGGTGGGGGTGTCGATAGGGGGCAGGGCAGTCAGGGGATGGGGGGGTTGGATGGGGGTGGAGTCCCGGGGGTTGGTTAGGGGAGGGGGCGGTCAGGGGACAAGGAGCTGGGGTGGGGGGGTTGGATGGATCAGAGGTTCTGAGGGGGGGGAAGTCAGGGGGCAGGAAGAGGGATGGGGAGATAGGGGGTGGGGGGCAGGCTGTTTGGGGGCACAGCCTTCCCTACCCAGCCCTCCATACCATTTCCCAACCCTGATGTGGCCCTTGGGCCAAAAAATTTGCCCACCCCTGCTTTAGGCAATAACCTTGCTAGCTATGATTTAGCTTGTTACTTATGTTTGGAAGCTAGAAAGGAATCTGATGTTCAGGGTCACATATTTGAAGGACACAATGCTTGAGGCTTCAGAAACATGCATCTGTACACAAGACAGGTAGCTATGTACGATTTGCACAAAGCGTGTTTTATGGGTGTGAGCTTACTTTTACAAGTATGGCACTTCCATGGAAAGGCCCTTAAGTTTCCAGGTGTCAATCATTCAAAGCAGACTACACTATAGTATATTTAACACTAGTGGACAAACGAAAGTCTTTTTACCTGCCATGGCTTGAGTTCTCCTACTACAGCTAATGCTATTCCCAATAACTAAGTCAGCAGCAGGGACCTGCATTCCTTATGCTGCAGAGGAGTTTTAGAACCCAGATCTTGGCAAGGAAAATAAAGAATTTTCTATTATTTTTTATCTGAGCTGTATTTCTTTGCAATTAAGAAAAGCTTTTCACTGGGGCTCTCCACTTTCAAACGTCAGTTGAAGCAAAGAAAATGATGCTGTGTTTGAGAGATTTTTGTTCTTCAAGGGTTGGCTAGTTTGCATTACTGAAAAAACACCCAAGACTTTATTTCTTCCAATGAAACTAGAGGAAGGATCTCTTCTATTAATTTCAGCAGACAATAGTATTCCAAAAGTTTAATCAATGTACAAAAATAGTATGAAGAAAAAGAACACCAAGGCCTTTAATAGAAAATATTAGTCTTCAAATTAATTAAATCGTTAGATTTGCTTAAAAAGGATCACCATAACTGGAGAGAATGTCCCTTAGAGCCTGAAGAGGATTTAAGTTATTTTATAACTCAGAGTTCTTATCTATTCACAATAGGTTTAAGGGTGGAAAAATATATTATTCCTTTTACGTTCATTTTCCCTCCAACTATAACCATCTTCTTGTAGACACTCTGTCACTGCTTGAACAGCTACTTTAGCTGAGCTATATGAAGCCCAATGGGCAATTTTCAGAGGCACTGAGCACACACTCTGCATATGAAAATCAGGCCACAAACACCAATATCATTTGTACTCAAACTATTAATCCCTTCCCAGAGCTGCAGTGCCACATCTCCTCTAGCAAACACAACAATCTACAAGGCCAAGAATCCTGGTTATCGAGTTTTTAAAAGGATAGCGCAAGAGATCAATTACACTGTCCATTGCCAGATATTTTCCTTTTTGAACTCAGTCTTCCAATGAATGGTAGTCTTCCTCATCCCTCACTTCTCTGTATTTCATTGAAGTTTCCTCCTCAGGTTCATACCTGACCATTTTAATATTCAACCTTTCTGCTAGTTTTTGTGCGGCAAGTTTTGCTTGCATTTCCTAAAAACGAACACACACCGGAAGGAAAGAGAGACAAGTTAAACTATAATTTGTTATTCATCCTGGATGTCAAAAATCTACTAGCTAAAAAATAGAAACATTACAGAGTAACTTGCATGATCACATTAAGTGTCAACCCAACTATTCTTAGTATCTGCAAGAAACAGTGGACATTTCCTTAAATTTAAACAAAAAGATCTTTAATATTTTGATTTAGAAATGATTTCATTTTATTACTTGAGCAGCAGTTTCTCCATGCTGCAATTCTTACATAAGACCTGCTTCCACTTGAACAAGATCAGGCCTATGTAGAGATGTTGCCTACCAGAGTCATGTGAGAAACAGAACTCCCAGCTCCAACAAAGACTGTGGCCTTTGGCAACTCCTATAATTTCTCCAGTTCCAATTTTTCCACCCCCCTGTAAAAAGTTCTTGTCTATTCACAATAGGTCTTAGGGCGGAAAAATATATTATTCCTTTTACATTCATTTTTCTTCCAACTAACACCACCTTCTTGTAGACACTCTGTTATTGCTTACTACAGTATGTTGAACATACTTTAGCTGAGCTATTTACCTAACTCTCAGGAACGCTGAGATTATTAATTGGCAAGTGCTTGTAAAATATTAAGCAGCACCACACTGAAATTAAATAGCCCAACACCAATAAGTTTTTACTAGCTGTCCAGTTTTAAACGTTACCAGTCTGTCATCATATGGAATTCAATGCCAAAATCCAGTGCCAGAGGAGATCTCTGTTCAAAATGAAATTTCCTTAACCTCCAGTGACTACAAAGAACTTGGTCGTTGCCAGTCACAGTGCAAAGAAAATCAACGGTAATTACGTGCTCGCATTTTTCAGATCTATAACACTGGATACTTCTTTTGCCTTTATTAGCATGAATGGGGCATCCAGCATACACTAGTGACTGGTATGCTAGTTACCGAGCGTACTTTTTGAGTTCAAAGCACAGAGGTGACAAGTGACACTGCAACGAATTGATCATTACTATATGCAAAGAATAAGGCTAAATTTTATTTACTGCTTGATAAACAGCTCTAAAGACTGAATTTGAAAACACCACTGACAGAATCAAATAGAAAAATTAATCTGACCTTCTAAAGAGAGTCTGAGAGTCTCGACTGACTAACATATGAAAGGCATACCCTTTATACCGTGGCTTTCCAGAATGGTCTCAGCAATATAATTACATTTTCCAGTCCAAACAGTAACACTGATTCATACCTCATATATTTCTTTTTGCTGTGTCTGAAGTGCTACTGATTCTTCTACAGATAACAGTTGGGTAGGTGCATGATGAAGTGGTGGCAGCCGGGCTGCTGTGATGTCATCCAGATGTTTCTTATCTCTAAGACGTCTTTCTTCTTCGGAAATTGAAGATCCAAGTCTCCTAGGTGAACGACTAGGTGAGGAATCATGAGATGAGCCACTCCACTCAGCTGGTAATCTAAAAGGGATCAAATGTGAAGTTGCGACCCATATTTGCAATGTGAATTTAAGATGCAGTTTTTAATTCTAGAAATAGTCATTTCTGATACAGAAAGACTAAGAAAGAGACAGTATAAATCAGGTCATATTATAATGTACCACATAAGTGAACAATAAGTTGAACTTTCATAGTGCTTCTTCATGTAAAAAGGTAATTAATTTTCACAGCACTTTTACAAGGAAGGAAACTTTACCAATGAGGAAAAATTCATGGACAGGTTAAGTGACTTCCCCAAAGCCACACCGTAAATCACTGCTTTCGCAAGGATTAGAATGGAAGAGTTCCCAGCTCAGCAATAAGTCCATTAGAATATGCTGCCTCTCTCAATCTACTGAATGCTATCTACTTCAATTAACTTCCCTGAGGTTGAGGACATTCATTTTTTCACAGGAAATGCTCCAGCACATTGAAGGATCGTGCCCTACTTAAGTACAATCTCTCTCTACATACATGTTTCTAATACTAACCATAAAATCACATACTACACAGACACCTGGAGTCACTCTTTCCTGCCTTCCTCTGTGAATATCTGAAGTTTTTAATCAATGGAAAAAATGAACTAGTGATTTCATACAGCTTGTAATCTTCTAATGTAGTGATCTGCAGCTACAATAGGTTAATCTTTTCAATTATATGAAGGCACTATGATGATGCTCCATGATGCATATCAATTGTTTCCAGAATAGCACCTAGTAAAGGTGCAAAACGCTATCATGTCACCAACTTGTAGCAAATATTCTTTTCGGGGGGAAAAAATCTCTGCCAGAAGTTGTACTTCTAGTTCTATGTTTCTGTGTATTTTGTGCCCATAAAATAGCAATGGCTGGGAGTCAGGGAAACTTCAGGCAGTCACTGTTGAAGTTTCCAGACAATTTTGCCAATATAGAAATTAAAATTCAGAGTGATCCTGAAAAAGCCACCTGCTATTACAGTTCAATTGTAGTCCTAAAGGAATATTTGCCAGTTAAGTAATAGCTTCGTAGCGTGAACCAAAAAAACCTTTCAGGATTGATGATGATTATTTATTACTCGTGGAATCAGGAGACTAAGCGACATTTTTTGATGATAACTTTTGAATCAGGATTTTAGCCCCAGTCTCCAGATGTGGGGGACTAGCACATTAAACTAGCATGACACTAAAGCATTTACAGTCGCCAATTTTATATAGATAATAGTTAGCCCTCCTATTTATGAGAAACTTCTATATTCCGCAATACTTACACGTTGGTTTTAAATTTATTTTTAGCTCTTGGGTTCTTAGCTCTTGATTCTAGAACTTCAATATAATGTGGCTTTTTTGATGCCACGGTGGGAAAGCTTCCAAAGGGATTCTTCTTAAATTTAGCAATGTTCTGTTCTTTTTCTGATTTTCTTTCATTGTTATTCCCATCTCCAACTGCAACTCTTTCAAAGGCATCTACCAGCACATCACCACTGCTGCCTGAAGCATCCACTGGACTTTCTGTTTCACCCAGAGAACTGTATTTAGGTATCTGCTGATCAATTTTCATCAGGCTGATTGTGGATGAATTTAAATTGGATTCACTTTCGTGAGATTTTGCATGGTCTTCTATCATACTCTCTATTTGATTAAGTTTTTTGTGGCCCTTTGAAGAAGCTGTACGTGTGTCTCTTTTCTCGGTACATTCAGCTTCCTTGTCTTGCAAAATAGTTGTAGAAGTTTTGTTTACAAGAGTAGCAGAGTTTTCATAAATAGATGAGAAAACTTTATATGTTGATTTGTTCTCACTCAGGGCAACTCTTTGCTTGTTTGTATTAATCGCCTCTTGTTTTGTCTGAAACTCCAGTCTAACAACAGACAACAGTTCAGTTGTCCTCCTTAATTCTTCCTGCTGTGCTATGGCAAGCTTCAGCTTTTCAACAAAATCAGAGATCTTTTTACCTTTATCTGGAAGTCTATAAATAAATGTCCTAAAAATAAGAAAGAAATAGTTATGTGACAAGCCTCAGTCTTATTTCTGATATTCACGTATGTAATATCAGATGGATAAAGTTAATAGTTTCATGAAAATATTAAAACATTGCTGGTTCCATGACATTAGAATTCTAATGTTTTCAGAATGCTTTAAGTTTGCATAAATGCATGACATCTGTAGTTTTATAAGTTCATGACTATAGCAGAAAAAAAGTAATCATTTTGCCAAACCAGTGAAGATTATTCTGAGCTGAAATAATGATTTGACAAATATTTTACAACGATTTCATTTAAAAGATCACAGATCTGGGAGGGGAAAATACAAGACTGAAGTGAACTGTGCTATGATTACTGAAGATATTTATCAATTGACTTTAGAACTGTGAATTTATAAAACTTGAGTATACTTCTAAAACTGTTGTCTTGACAGCCTTACCCAGAATAGTCTTCACAACTCTATTATGTTATCAAAGCTATCTGTAGCAAATTAATCACAGAAGTGTGTGCGTGTGAAATCCAACCTATAAAGTGATGTGATTCTGACACAAATGAGTAGCATTCACAACCAGTAAATTGGGTCCAAGAAAGTTTTACTAACTGATTTTATGGAAAAATCAAGTGAAGTATCAGTAAGTAGATCTCTTAGGTGTAGTATACACTAGAAAAGGTTTGCTGGTAAAGCTATACCAGCAAACCCTCCTAGTGTATACACAACTTACACTGGCGAAAATCTGTTTTTGCCACTATAGTTTATATCAAAATAAGCTATATTAGCAAAAGCACTTCTATGCCAGTATAACTGCATCTTCACAAGGGATTTTGCTGGTATAGAAATGTTGCAAAAAAAAACAAAAAACCAAAATGCCCTTACCAACACCAGAAAAGATTTCAGTGTAGACCAGACCTTAGAGAATAGGGCTAAAATTGCACATTTGTGCAGGATATATGTTTGTTCTAGTTCTTCCTTTTCCCCACTCTTTAGTTTTCCTTCACTGGAAGGAAAAAAAAAATAAAAGATATGTCTTTATACTAAGTTAGCTACCTCACTGTACATTTTTTAGAGGGGACCAGGCACAGAAGTTTCTACCTCAGCATAGCTAGTTGTAATCAAAGCCCCACTGATTGGGGTTTACCTCAACTAGCTACACTGAGGTATAAAACTACTTGTGTCTTGTCTCCACTACAATTTTACATCAAACTTGCTATCTCAATGTGAAACAAGACATATCTTTTTTACAATGAAGACATAGCCTAAGTTTTAGACACCACCCCGCTATATTTCCCCCATAAATTGATGAGTGACACCCTCCCCACTTTGGCCTTTACTCATTAACTCTGTCTCTCACACACACTCTTTTTATTGAAAGAAGACTTGAAAGCCTCCTTAAAAACCACGTATTTCTGTAGATGACATGTTATATTTGCAACTCATTAAAGCCCTGACCCCGCAAACATGTAAACACGTGGGGTGGTTTTACTTATGTGAGGAGCCCCACTGACTTTGAATAGAGTCACTCATGCTTAAGTGCTTGCAAGATCAGGCCCTACTAACGGAAAAGCATCATTTATTTATTGTTCTTCACTGGTTCTTGCTCTCAGACTCAAGATCTAAGTGATCACCATGTGTTGGGTCAGGAAGGAATTTTCCCTGAGGTTAAATTGGCAGTGACAAACTTTTTCACCTTCCTTTGCGGTGTGTGGGTGCAGGTTACTTGCTAGGATTAACTGGGTCTACTGAACAATCACTTTCCTGGCTTTGGGCGTTGATGTACCTCACTCCCACCTATTCTCTGCCTGTGGCACCTAACAGCCTAGTTTCCCGTAGACTGTAATACTTTGGTCATTGGGTTTAGCATGTGGGTGCTGGGTGGCGTTGGCGGCCCGTAATATACAGGAATCAGACCAGATGATCCGGTCAGCCCTTCTGGCACTGAATTCTATGATTGTCTGATTCTGTATTGCTTGGACTCCCAAATCCTTCTGTCCTCTATCAGTGCACTCTCTGTGCTTGGCACAGCCCCCGTGAAGTGGCCCCTTCAATAGGGGAAAATTCTTACGGCTGTTGGGCCTGTTCTGCCCACCAAGTCCAATCTGTGACCTGGCTGTTATCCCTCTCACAAGAACTCGGCTCCTGTCACTGTGGTATCCACCATCCAAAATGACAGCAGACAGTGGGGGGACAGGTGCTCCTGCAAAGTCATTGGCAAGATCAGGCTTCACTGTGTCATGTCTGCGTGTCTTGGAAATGGTGGTGGCTGTGGGTGGGTGAACAGGAGGAAGGCAGCTATGAGTGTGCACACGCGTGTACGAGTAGGGGGGATGATAGCGGTGTGTTGGTCTTGCGGTAGTGGTACCTCTATTTCTGTGTGTGATGGAGGTGGTGGAAGCTAGGGGCTAAGGGACAGGACGCAGGGCAGCTCTGTGTGTGTGTGCGTGGTACGTGTGTGGGGGGATGACAATACCGATGGGGTAGTGGTGTGTCTGTGTGTGCGTACGCGCGTCTGTCTGTGTTTTAGGTGGTGGTGGTTGGGGAGATAGGAGGCAGGGCAGCTCTGTGTGTGGAGCAGCGATGACAGCAATGTGTTGGGGTAGCAGTGCGTATGGCCGTGTGTGGGGGCTGGGGGGACCGGAAGCAGGGCAGCTCCGTGTGTGGGGCGGGGGGGGAATGAATGAGAGCGGGGTGGTGGGGCAGCTCCGTGTGTGGGGCAGCTCCGTGTGTGGGGCGGGGGGGGAATGAATGAGAGCGGGGTGGTGGGGCAGCTCCGTGTGTGTGTGGGGGGGAATGAGAGCGGGGTGGTGGGGCAGCTCCGTGTGTGGGGCGGGGGGGGGAATGAATGAGAGCGGGGTGGTGGGGCACCAGTGCATCTCTCGGTGTGTGCGGGGGGGGATTAGGAGGCAGGGCACCGGGGGGGGGCGGGGATGGCAGCAGGGTGTTGGGTGGAAGGCGCGCGAGGGCAGCTGTGTGCGTATTGGGGGCGGGCAGCTGGTCACGGCGGGAAGCCGTTACGCCGGTTACCCGTCTCCGCTGCGCGGGCCCGTGGCCGGGGAAGGACGGGCTCAGCCCAGCCCCGGGGTGGTGGCCGCCGGGCGCTATCCCGCGGTCTCGCTCCCGGCGGCCCCGCGCTCACCGAGCGGCCAGCAGCCTCTCCTGGCGCCTCAGCATCTCCTGCAGCTCTTGCAGGCTTCGGCCCCGCAGCTCCCCGCCTTCCCCTGGCGGCGATGACATGCTGCCAGCCGGCCAGGAACAGGCACCTGTCGCTGCAGGGGGTTCCCCAGCGCCGGCTCCGCCAGCGGCTTCCGCCGCACACAGTAGGCCGCCATGTTACCGGAAAGGACGGTACGGCAGCAGGGTCAGAGTTTATTGAAAGGCGGAGCTGTGCGCCGCTGATCCCTGGGCCCTTAGCCGGTCGTCCCGCCCCTCTTTAGATCCTTTTTCAGAGGAACAGCCGTGTTAGTCTGTATTCCCAAAAAGAAAAGGAGGACTTGTGGCACCTTAGAGACTAACCAATTTATTTGAGCATGAGCTTTCGTGAGCTACAGCTCACTTCATCAGATGTTTACCGTGGAAACTGGTTCTTCTACCAAGCGCACACCCAACCCAGGCCAGATGGGTCCCGCCCCCCCCCATCCGTCACACCTCCATTTCCGTCCACACACTGTCACCCCACCCCCGTCTCTCTCGCGCCCCCATCCCAAACATGCCCAATCCCCCTCCTCTGCCCCTAAACCTCCACCCACCTTCCCACTGCCGGACCACTGACCAGACACCCCCCGCTCCATCAACCCCTGCACCCCCCACAGACATTATACCCCCATCAGTTCCCCCCCCCCCAAAACGAGTCCCAGGCTCCTCCCTCCGCACAACCCTTCTCCAAACCCTGATCACCTCCCGCTCTACATGACCCCTGCTGCATCCCATGCACACAAATATACCAACTCATCACCAAACCCCACGCTCCTCCTCCCTCCATGCCCCCTTATCTCTACCCACAATGACTTTGGGGTCTAATATCCCACGGCCCTGCCAACTGCACTCCCACTTTGCACAGAACTCCGCCCTCACCTTCCAGATAACCGTGTAAACGGTCATACATTATAATGCAAATGTACTGTTTGTCTCTACCATAGATAAAACTTTGTGGGGCACTGTGTCTTAAAAATAAACGGTGTCAAAGATGATGTTGGAGTTGCGGATACAGACTAACACAGCTGCTACTCTGAACCCAGTTGTGAATGCGATCCTCAGTCACCCAAGTGTGTTCTACCTGTTCAGACCAATGATGCAGCCAGCTTAGAGTCTGCAACGTTCTCTCTACCGCGATCCTGATGTCTCACTAGATATTAATGCAGTGTTGTAATTCATTAGGGACAAATGCTATTCATTCCTCCCTCCATGACTGTAGGAACAAAGATGTAGAAGAATCAGTGTGGTGGTTTTACTGCTCCAAGGGCAGGATTAGGGTGGTTACTCAAGTCTGAATTGTGGGGACTTTTACAAAGTCCCTCCACCTCTCAAATTAGCTCCTGGTAATAGCTGAAAAAGCAAAAACGATGGGAAAGGACAGCATCTATACTCTTCGTTCAGCACCCTTAGCAGCCCGCATGTATCAAAGTGGAAAAGTTGTTCCTTTCGCTCCCCCAACCTTGGTGCTTTTGCGGTTAGAAAGCAGACGCCTACAGCCAGATAGAAAATGTCCTCATTCCTGAAGCCAGGCATTTTGTTAAACTTTCTAGTAGTACTTTAAATAAACAAACAAGAATGACAGAAAGTAGCTGTCTACCACCCCAAAAGCAACATTTATATAATGCTGTCATATTCACTCAATTATTGTGCAGTGGGGCAACCCTTGTAAAGTGACTGGTGTAAAGAAGAGATACCAGCATGAGACTCAAAATGGCAATTTTCAAATGCATCTGTATTCCCCCAAAATATTAACACAAGACAACCAGCAAAATAGGAGAAATGCACTCAAGACTACAGGGAGTGGGACTTAAA